CGATTACCAACTCTATTTATTTAGCTCACTCTGCTTGGGAGCATGTGCATACTACATGCCCAGGTTAATTGGCATAATCTTGTTTGGTTTGGTAAGTTGGTGCCTAGGATGAGTTTTATGCTTTGGCTTGCTATTAGACTTAAACTTAGCACCTTGGATAGAATGCAATCCTATGCTTCTCATGTGGGACATGGGTGTATCTTGTGTAGAGAATTTTTTGAATCACACTCACTTTTTTTTTTTTCTGAGTGCTCTTATTCTACTAGAGTCTGCAACTCTATCTTGCTTTGTGTGGACAAACTTAGCAGGCTAAACCATGGGGGGAATTCATTGATTGGACTGCCTCTAACTGGAAGGGAAAGTCTATGCCCAAAGTAATTTATAAGCTATGTCTTGTTGCTACCATCTACAACATATGGATGGAAAGGAATAATAAAAGGTCACAATGGGGTTCTTCTTCTTGTAACCCCGTTTCCTCTGTTTCAATACAAATTCTTTATTTTTTGAAAAAATACTGTAAGCCAAACATATCAAGATACAACTTGATCTTTATATTTCCTATTATATGTCTAATATACCTATTCATGGTATATTAAAACTGTTCTGATATATTTTCTATTTGATTTGTTCACTAACAAACCGATCTATGGTTTACTAGGACTCTTACAATATGTTTCATATTCCATTTAGGATTCTCACATTAATTACCCAACAAACTCTCATTCATGACAATTAGAGTGTTTGAGTCAAATTCCAAAAATCTGCCTTGAACCAAACTTTTCAAATTTGATCATGCCCAAGATTGGGCTTAGCACCCTTGATTTTGATCTACAAATCTTTTCAAGTACCACGTGCAAACTTGCTTTCCTAAGTCGCCCCAATCCTCTTTATCTTTCAAGAACCTACACTTTGGCCTGCATCATCTGCGCATCTTTGCCCACATCTTACCTGCTATCGGGAGGTCTCAATAGCCAATGAGTCACCATTTAAAGGTAAAACCCAATGACTCGTAACCCACAAGATACCATATCATAACTATTTGGTTTATGTCAGCCCAATAGCACCCAAACCATCAGAACATCGTGACTTCAACTCTAAGAGCCCAAAATCTTAAAAAAATTATCTTTAACACAATACATGTGGTAATTCTTGAAGTCCAAGCTGGAAGAAACTTTTGTCTTCCATTTGATTTCATATCAACTTCAATTTTTTCCTTGTGGATCCAAACAAAAAATATGCATCAACTAATTTTTCAAGATTACATCCTTAATGTACGCAGGACGAAATCAATCTTCACACCCCGTCATACACACATAGCAAGAGAGACTTCTTCAACATGAACACCAACTTGATTATTGAATCGTCAATAACTTGTTTTGATTGTTGTACAAGGATTGTCAATGTAGCTCTGATTGTTCTACTAGAATTATCAATCTAATTTTGATACCACTTGTTAGTTTTGCATAACGGATAATTAAAACAAATAATACTTTTGTAAAATAGGAATTCAAAGATAGGAAAAACAATAAAAACATGACAAAAAGATATAACATGGTTCGATACAATATACCCACCTTGTTATATCATACCTACATTCACGGACCAAAAACCTACATCGATATATTATTTATTAAAAAAGTATTCATCTAGTAGCTGGTTACATAATACTCAACTCTATTTATAAGGATACAATACTGTAACCCAAATCTATCATTGTACATCTTGATCTTTCTATTTCTTATTATATGTCTATTATATCTATTTATGGTATATTAAAACTTTTCTAATTTTCCTATTTTATTTGGTCATTAACAAGCCTATCTATGATTTATTAGGACTATTACTATATTTTTCATATTCCATTTAGAATTTTCACATTGATTGTCCAACAACTCTCGTTCATGATAATTAGAGAGTTTGTATCAAATTCCAACAAATTTCATCACGGCCATTACCCGAGTTAGTGGTCTAGTAGTAAGTCATACTTGGTTAGAGTTGTCTTTGACTCCCACGTGGTTATCAAGTAGAATTTGATTCACGGGAGCAATACGGTTTATTACTTGATTTTGGTAGTACTGTAGTGACGGGCTACTCTTTCAAATTAGTAGGTATGATTCAAACCGAATATTTCACAGTGGCGGATACACTCGTGGTCACACTTTGGGGGTTACTATTGGCTGCCCCTCCCTCTTTTTTCTTGATAAAAAAAAAATATTCATCACGGCCTTTGATTCATAGTGTAAAGATAGATGCAGGGCTTAGGTTTAGGAGGAACAAATCCTTTGGACAAATCTTTCAAAAGAATGGGTTTTAATGTGGAAAAAAAAAAAACACACTTAGGGGCCGAACTATTTCATTCCTAAGACTAACTGAACAAATACTATGTTGTTTTTAGACAAACTTAAGGGGACGGCCGTGTCGCTCCGTCACTCTAGATCCAACACCAAATGGCTCATCAAATACAAGTTTTGAATGAGTTGGAATCAAAGAAAACTTCGAAATAGGGACAAACATAGATATAGTATAGAAAGAAAACGAAAACGAAAACAAAAAACGACCAACACAACGCCGACAACAGAGACAGCATCGACAAAGAGGAAGAAGTCAAATGACAAAGCCTCATGCTCATGGGGAAAGGCGGAACAACTCCCAAGTCAAACAATACCATCCAATCCACTGCCACTTTCAAAAAGTCTGGTTGGAGCAAAATCTATGATATAAAGTAGGACAAACTTTAATAAATTTATCATATAGCGTTAAATAGATCAATTCAATGGCCATTAAAAATTATTTATATTGTACCGTAACTTCAGACACAGGTTATCCTTACTATAATTTTTTATAGAAGAGCAATACTGTTGAGACTTGATTTGAGACTTAATTTAATGATATAAAAAGTTGTGGCAACAGCATTAACCGCATCTACAATATTGAATGAAGTCCACTTTTAATTTAAGAAAAATGATATTTAGACTTAATTTGTGGATCTAATTTAAGAGCCTAATGATGTACATATATTGGATTAGTTATGAGCTTTATCTAACATTAGAACTCATAATTAATCCAATAGTNACACAGGTTATCCTTACTATAATTTTTTATAGAAGAGCAATATTGTTGAGACTTGATTTGAGACTTAATTTAATGATATAAAAAGTTGTGGCAACAGCATTAACCACATCTACAATATTGAATGAAGTCCACTTTTAATTTAAGGAAAATGATATTTAGACTTAATTTGTGGATCTAATTTAAAAGCCTAATGATGTACACATATTGGATTAGTTATGAGCTTTATCTAACATTAGAACTCATAATTAATCCAATAGTTGCATTGAAGCCACATTATTAGGTCCTCAGATTAGGTTTCCAAATAAGATCCCTATAAGATTGTTCTTAATTTAATGATCACTGATGCAACACATATAGCAGAAAATTATATGGTAGATCAAGACCGTCGAAAGCAGTGCTGATTAGACACCAACCAATTTTGGGTGAATGTTAGAAAATTTTCTAAGACTCTAATCTAAAAAATTCTTGGCAATCTAAACAAGATTAAAAATCATTTGACATGTTGTTTTTAAGCCAAAAAAATGACGTTTATGGTGTTTTTTATGTACTTTTCTATTTTATTATGCTGTTTGGATTATTTTTGAAATGTTGCATATTTATTTGATTTTTCTAGTAATTTAGGATCATTAGGGTTTCATAATTATATAATGTAGAAAATTGATTCAACAATTTTGGCTTATTTTGAATAAAATGTAGAATCGAGTTCTCTTTTCATTCTCCATTAACTTCGTATTTTTTGTGAATCAACAAGTCTTTTAAAAACTCTAATATGGTATTATTGTGATAATTAACATGTTACAATTTATGTTGTTTGATCTTGTTTCTTTATTCATGCTACCCTCCATCAATCACGAATCATTAGCTATATTAAAAAAATCGGTATAAGTTGCATTATTGTTTGCGGATGCCATTTTGTTCCTTGGGTAGTTTTTGAGAGACTAATCTCTTGATCATATCAGCAGCAGATGGTTTCCTATGATTAAGGCATTACAGCTCGAGTGTTTAGCGTTGTAATACTTTTTAGTTCCAAGTGATGCACAAGATTATGGTACCAAAATAGGCCTACAAAGTAATTATGCGATGCCATGACATAATGATATTGTTTTTAGTACTCATTTTGAAAACAATCGCAATTGTTTACAGTCCTAACTAGACTGAATTTTGTTGTATATAACTGACGTAGAATTGTAACTTCAAATGAACTGTAATTATATTTTATAAATTTTGGTATGATGTCACGTTTGATAGGGTAATTGTTCCCTCAATTCATATACCCTCCCACTTGTGACAAATTTTAATATACCTACATAACATAAGATATCTTTCAAATCGGGTGTAGGCCCAACAAACAGAAAAAAATGAGGCTCCGGAGACCCACCAAAAAACATTTATAACCATAATGTCATGATCAGTCTTCCAATCAGCTAACAAGCCTGAAAATTTTAAGGCTGTATAGATCCATGTTTTCTACAATCTCTCTATCTCTGTAGAAGTACAGAACCTTCGTCATCCACGTCATTCTTCTGTTTCTTCCTTTCCAACTTGTATGCCAAGATCTCCACTTGCCCGGCATTATCTTTCCCAACTCTTTTTATCCATTTGGTCTTTTTGTATCCAGTTCTCCTGAGTTCTAACTCTTCTCCTTCCATTTCTTTCTGTCAGCGTAGCATTACTGTTACCGCATATTTCACTCTCTCCATTCCAGAAAGGCCAATAGGAGAAGTAAGCACAAAGCACCATGCTCTCTCTCTCTCTCCCTCCCTCCCTCTCTATCTATCTATCTATCTATCTATCTCTCTCTCTCTCTCTCTCTCTCTCTCTCTCTCTCAAAAACACAGACACAAACATACACAAACAGTTCCATACCTTTAAAAGATAATTATTTTGCATGGCTCAGTAGAAGCTAATGTATGTGCTCTTTTAAGGTCATGTGGCCGAGATTGGTAGCCAGTAAGATCCTCAGAAAGAGATTGGGCAGCAACAATTTTGTGGCAGATTTTCCAAGCAACCCAGAATCTTTCCTAGAAACTCAAAGTTTGGACCAAGAATCTATTTGCTCTAAGATCACCTTCCATCACAATGAGCAGACACGCAATTACAAGTAAGAAATCGAAAATTACTTTTATTCTTCATCCACCGTCTTATATTTGTCATCCGTAGTTATATATTGTTTTCTTTTGTTTCTATATTGTTGATATGGTTTTTGATCTGCTGAAAGGGTTTTTGTTAGCACTTGGAATGTTGCCGGGGTTACACCAACTGATGATTTAAATATGGAAGAACTGCTACTTACATGCAACACCCCTTGCGAAATCTATGTTCTTGGGTAATTTTAAAAATCTATATTCTAACTTTTTATTTTATTTTTGATAAAAATAAGACTAAGACCACCAGTGGGATCAAATTTCTGTGATCATATTTTCTATTCAGGTTTCAAGAAGTTGTGCCCCTAAGAGCTGCAAATGTTCTAGGATCTGAAAATCATAGAATTTCTATGAAATGGAATTCTCTGATAAGACAAACCCTAAACAAGAAAACTTGCAGCCGCGACAGAAACAAAGAAGCCACATTAAAAGAAAATCAAAATAACTTCTTTGCAGAAGGTGGGAAGTCAACTGACATCACTCCCGGGTTCCGGTGTACTATTAGCAAGCAAATGGTCGGAATATTGATCTCAGTTTGGGTTCGAAACGATCTTCAATGTTACATTCGGAACCCTAGTGTCTCATGTGTAGGCTGTGGCATCATGGGGTGTCTAGGAAATAAGGTAATTAAAAACCTTATCATCAGTTCAAGTTTAAGCAGTATTACCCTTTTACCAGTTTCAAGGCAGATTCGATTATTTCTTCGTTATTTTTAGTAACCGATTCTAAATAGTTGAGATAAGATGTTGTTGAGTTTCGCATCCATACTTTCATGCTTTAAGTGTTAAAGACTATGTTGGAGGACATAGCTCACGCCAAATTCTTATTAACCTGATCTTATTCCCGTCTCTTCTTCTGTTTAATTGGCATTTGCAGGGTTCTGTATCGGTTAGGTTTCGATTACATGAAACCAGCTTCTGCTTTGTGTGCAGTCATCTAGCTTCAGGGGGTAGAGAAGGTGATGAGAGACATCGAAATTCGAACTTCCTCGAAATATTAGACCGGACAAGCTTTCCTAGAGGTCCTTCACTGGATTTGCCTCGAAAGATCCTAGATCATGAGTATGTGAAATAAGTTTGTCAAAACCGTCCAAAATGATTCGTTATTGATTTGTCTATTCAACCATTTGTTTTCTAAGAACTTTGATTAATCACAAATCAAGCAAATATGACAAATCACAGTAATAATTTACTTGGTTAAACAGAAATTATTGTTTGTTTTGCGTTTAATTTTTGTTATTATCGCTTTCAGGCTGCCGTACATATAAAATTAAACTTTTGTTGATAATTTTAGTCATCTTTTTATGGTCTTTCATATATGTTTGTTGTACAATATTATTTTGAATATTATGTGCCTAACGAGTTAAATCTACTTGAAAAGGAAAGATTTCTTCACTTGGTATGGCTTTTATTGCTATAAAAAATTGTTTCATTAATTAAACAAGTTGACTTCTAAACCACAAAGTTAATTTTTAATTTTTGTGCTGGTTGAGCAGAAAAAATTACCATTAGTCGGTACCTGATTTTAGTATTCTAACCCTAAAATATATTGCTGCTATCAGCTAATTAACTACGTTTGATCCGGTGCAGCCGGGTAATCTTGCTTGGAGACTTGAACTACAGAATCTCCCTACCTGAATCGGACACACGATTACTAGTTTATAGAAGAGAATGGAATGCTTTGCTAGAAAATGATCAGGTAGATAAAGAAACGAATCTGCAGATCTCTCAGTTGTTCGAAAAATATCTATTATTCTTCTAAACTTGGCATCAAATTTTCATGCAAATAAAGCTAAGGACAGAACTCATGGAGGGTCAAATATTTCAAGGCTGGCATGAAGGAACAATTAATTTCGCTCCTACTTACAAATATTATCCCGATTCTGATGAATATAGCAGTGGTATTGGTGGAAGAAAAGGTGAAAAGAAACGCGCTCCTGCATGGTAATACATGAATATTATTGGTATTGTTCTTCATCTTTTTTCGAGAAGATCAAGTGAGAATATTTTCATAAAAATAAGTTTTCTTTTTAGGTGTGACAGGATAATTTGGTGCGGGGAGGGTCTAAAGCAACATATCTACACCAGAGGTGAATCAAAGCTGTCTGATCACAGACCAGTGAAGGCCATATTCACAGCAGAGGTAGGAATTTTAAGGAAAGGATATAAAAATTTCTTCCTATCTGAGAGGTTTGATCGTATTCATATCACAAACCGATTAGTGATGCCATCACATGATGATTTTCGAGGTATCGCCCCATCAAGATTCAGACTTAGAGATTTATTTACCCCATATGAAGCATGCTGAGGAGTGTACAGTGATGTTGATTATCTTCTTCTCCATGTTCTATTTAGCTACAAAAGCTGTCCAAGTCATCCTGTCTCCTTCAATGCAAGTTGTAAATTGTTAAAAATGGTTTAATCCAAAAACTATGGCCTAATATTTATGTCTGTATGATGCTTCTAGACATGGTTTTGTATGCTATATTTATACATATGTGTGACCCACCACTTTATAAATTCAATGTCCCAATCATTGGCATGGTCCATGAAATAATTTGATTGGTGGATGAAAACCACATCATAAAAATAAAAGCATATGAGATACTGGATTAATTAAAATAATATTGTTTTCGTTGCATGCATGGGAGATGAGTAGGACTGGACCACAGAAGTAATGGGCATTGCTTGGCAAAGACCAATTCTAGTTGTGGGTTTGGTGAACATGAAATAATTGAAATTTACACCATTTGATTAGGGAGAAAGAATACTGAGCTCATATGTCTCATCTCCAACAGTTCTCGAATATGTATTATCTGGGATTTTCAAGGATATCAATACGATACTGAATTTTATAATCCTACAAGTTCTAAGTTTTTCTTTTTTAGTAAATAAACTTTGTATTGATATGACTGTGAATGTACAAAATTCATGATGAACAAAAGAAGGCAGAAACCTATGACAAAGTTACCTATGCAGCTATGGGCGAAGCTTAGAGGCTTAGCTTAGCTAATAAGTTCTTAGTTAGGAATTAAACAAGCTAGGTTATGATCAAGGAACCATGGATATGGACATGGAGATACGATAAAATCCTAAAATATAGGACATGGATACAACGAGGATATAGTTAATTAAAATAATATATTATATTTATATATATATAATAACATTAATAATAAAATTGAGTAGTTAATTAATATTTTATAATTGGTCAAATGAGCTAATATTAAATTTTATTAGTGGGCTAACATGTTATGAGGAGTGGGCTAAACCAAATTGGGTAGTGGGTGACAACTAATAAGGTATGATTGTAATTTAACATAAAATATAATAAGTATGAGGGTTATTTGTAAATTATAATTTAGCAACTAGGGAAAAGAAAAAAGAGAGAAAATAATAGGGGCTGAAAAGCAATTAGGACAAACCCTTACTAAAAAGAAAAAAAAAGAAGAAGAAAAAGACGTTGCTTTGTTGCTTTTAAGCAACTAGGGCAAGCCGCCAGAGCAAATTCGCAATTCGATAGAAATTGTGGAGATCTCATCTGCTGGCATGAGAGAGAGAGAGAGATCTGAAGACAACATACTTGTTTGAAGAGGAGGAGATATGTGGCTGATCAGGTATGTATCGTCTTCTTCTCCCCCCCCCCCCCCTTTTTTTTTGTTTCAACATAGCTTCATGGTTGTGGTCGTATCCTGCAGTATCATCTCCGTATCCGTCCACAACAAATGTCTCTTCACTGTTCAGGACACTTGTGAAAATGTCGAACATGTGTCCAGCCGTGTTCCATGCATATTCATGTCAAACATGTAATCGACCCCCCGATCGAGGAGTATCCGTGTTTCTTAGGTTTCACTAGAAATTAAGATTGATCTAAAACCTTGAAAACGATTTCACATTGTTAGGATTGATTCCAAATTTAGACATCAATAAATTCTAACTATGCTCTTATTGAGTCAAAACTTAACTCGGATGTCATAAAAGGCGTACCCAGTGTACGAGACTCCCGTCGTTACAGTTTTCATCACTTTCTCTTATTTATTCAATAAACTAGTACTATAAATTTTTCCTTAAACAGAAGTCTTTTTTCATTTGAATGATCTCCATTTCTTTTTTTGGCTATTGAATTGAACGATCTCCATGAATCAACACTAATGGGGGATATTGAACAAAAAAAAAAAAAAATCCTTTTAAGATGTCTGTACAACTTTAGGAGACAAAAGGTGGGGAAATGTGGGTGACAAAACGAAGGCCTTCTTGAGGAATTTTAATATACAGGAGAGATTGAAGATAATAAAAACAAAGGAAGAGCATATCACTGAAATATAAGTAGTTTGGCACATTATGCCTGCATTCACCGACCAAATACCTACAAGACTACATTAATTTATTATTTATTGGTACTTGTTTAAAAATACAGTAATGTAATGCTGACCAAATTTTGAGACCAAATTTGGAGCTCAAATAATTTGGCAGCATATTATTTGAATCTTTATTGGAGCCCAAATGACATGACAACAAATAAAGAAGTTCAAGTCAGCTACCATGTCATTTGAACTCTAAATTTGGTCAGTGTAGCATTACTCTNCAATGCTGACCAAATTTTGAGATCAAATTTGGAGCTCAAATAACTTGGCAGCATATTATTTGAATCTTTATTGGAGCCCAAATGACATGACAATAAATAAAGAAATTCAAGTCAGCTACCATGTCATTTGAACTCTAAATTTGGTCAGTGTAGCATTACTCTTAAAAATAACTCAGTCTTATTTTTATGGAGAGTAAATATCTTTTTTTTTTGGAACGTAAAAATTGTATAAATATTAACCNCTTAAAAATAACTCAGTCTTATTTTTATGGAGAGTAAATATCTTTTTTTTTTGGAACGTAAAAATTGTATAAATATTAACCATAAAAAGTACATGTGAGATAGAGCCTTTACCGAAATAAATTAGGCTTAGCTTAGTGTAATAAAATGTATACAACATGAATAAAAAGAGATTCTGCGAGATAGAATTTCGAAGGAAGTATAGGCCTTGAGCCGGTACTTCCAATTGAATCCCACCTTGAGCATCACTTGACATAATGCAAATTTATGAAGCATTGATAAATGTTAAAGCATCCAAAAACCACATGACATGAAGTTTACTTAAGGCAACAACTGTGAGTTTCAAGAATTCACCAGACGAGAAGTTTACTCAATGCAGTTCCTGGGTAGACACCAAGAGTTTATAATTTTTTTTTTTAGTCGTTGCCAAAAGGATTTGTAAAAACGTTCTCTCCAAAAAATTTAAATGCTAATTTTATTGGTGACAAAATTATTTGTCAATAAAAAATGTTTTTCAGTCGCAATTTTTTTTATTTATCAAGAATAGGAAAATAAAAAAATAAAAAAATAAAACTTAGAGACGATTTTGTTACCGCAGAAAAATTATTTAATTTTAATTGTTTGGGAATGTACAGTATTTTGGTCGCAAAATCATTTAATGTAAAATAATTATTTTGATTGATAAAAATGACGTCGTTTTGGACCTAAGGGATTTTAATTGCATCTTGCAAAACAATGTCGTTTTATAGCTTTGAGAATAGTTTGTGGTTCCAAAACGACATCGTTTTAGAATCCTGGATTAAGAGCATCTCTAATGGAGATGTCAAATATTATATGCCGAATTTAAATTTGATGGTTTATATGACAATTTGACATTTTCATCGTGCACTCCAACCAATATGTCAAATAATTTATTTTATTCAAACTTTATCTTTAAATTTTTTCCTTATATTAATTTAATGTGTGTTTGAAATAAATTTTGGAATCAATTAAAATAAATTTATTAAAAATATTATATTTTAAAATATTATAAATTTTAAATGAAAAGTAATATATATTTTATTAAAAATAAAATTCTCATTAAAATTAGCTAATACAAATTTAAACGATAATTCTAATCAAATTATATGTTACAAAATAAAAGAAATTATGTTAAATATCTAATAACTTCAAAAAAAATTATATTAAAAAGATTTGACATGTCTATTGACATATGCCAAATCTGTTTTTGCTCAATCAATAATTGGCATATCCACTAGACAAGTCTTGCATATTAAAAAATAAAAAGCGTCGTTGGAGCTATTAGTTTTTATAAACTTAATTCTCAAAGGGTAATTTTTGTATTTTTGGATTTATGATACGTCATGGTATTTGAAGAGATAATCAGTAGAAGTATCCAGAATGTTTTGAAAGTACTGTTCATGTCTTTGGAGGNTACGTCATGGTATTTGAAGAGATAATCAGTAGAAGTATCCAGAATGTTTTGAAAGGACTGTTCATGTCTTTGGAGGAGTGTTAATGTACAGCTATATGGAAAAACTGAAGAGACAAAATCTGGTTTAATGCTTGGAGGCTACTGACCATTGAATGGGCAAATTCAAGGACTTTTGGTTAGAAAACAGAGGTATAAAAAGGGCTGAACTGTTGCTGCCAAAACAGGATGTTATCTGCAGAAAAAATAGAGGGAAAACAATGAGAAAAATTGTATTTTGCTAGAAAGAAAAACTAGCAGGTGTGTCCTTGAGCATAAGCTTCGTTTGTGAGGGCTTTCATAGCTTAATGTGTGATTTTTTCTTACTGAAAAATCAGATTGGTCTTTCCCTTTGTATTCCTTGATATTGTGATCATTCTTTGTGAAATATAGAGGTGTTCCTTGAGTGAAATTGGTATGGATGTATAGCAGATTGTTTTGTCTCTGTTTTACTTATCTTTGGTGATCAAATTTGCTTCCAACACCCAACAAAATTGGTATCAGAGCAGTTTGTTATGGCTACTACTAGTAATGTGCTTCAACCACAATTTTCCAAATTGGGGAAAGATAATTATGGGAATTGGAGTATTCAAATCAAGATGTTGTTACAATCACAAGATCTTTGAAAAATTGTTGAAAAAGGTTACATCAAGCCGACTATGGAGGAAGAGCAAGCACTTAATGATGCTCAAAAGATGGAGTTTAAGCAATCAAGAAAGACGGATAAGAAGGTTTTATTCCTACTTTACCAATGTATTGACGATAACACTTTTGAGAAGATTTCTTCTGCCACAACCTCGAAGCAAGCTTGGGAAATTTTGAAGAGTATGCATAGAGGCATTGATAAAACAATTCGGGTTCGTCTTCAAATATTGCAAAGTGAATTTAAAGGGTTGAATACAAATGGAGCCGAGTCAATTTCGGAGTATTTTTCAAGAACTTTGGTGATTGTGGATCAAATGCGAAGGTATGAAGAAGATATTGATGATGTTCGAGTTATGGAAAAAATACT